GATAGATAGATAGATAGATAGATAGATAGATAGATAGATAGATAGATTTGAGACCATTATAATAATATATCCATACATATTCATTTTTTAAATAAATGTTGAAAAATGTATATGTATTGATATATTATTCAATTCAATTCAAAAATACTTTATTAATCCCAAAGGGAAATTATTTGTTGTTGTAACTCGTTATCCTCATTTCATTAAGAGATGTTATAGATGCTGATGGCTGTAGGCAGGAAGGATCTCTTGTAAAGGTCCATCCCACAGTGGATCCTAAGAAACTGGCTGCAGATGCCGTCCGATCCGTCCACCCAGACTTGGCTGGCCTCTCGGTTCCCCTGGACTGTAGGACCGCCCGAATGCCGGGCTGAACTCCTCCCAGAGCGATGGTCACTCCTCCCAGCAGTCTGCAGAGCTCCTCGTTGCTGCAGACATCCAACTGTAGGTGCCGAGGGACGATCCTGTCCTTCCGCTGTCGTGAGCCGTATTTCCTTCTAGTTCCAGGATCTCAGTGGTCAGGCACTCGAGCACAGCTGGCAGGTAGATGGGAATGCGTCCACAGAACATCCTTTCAACTCATTTGAGATTTGGGGCTGTAGCTGAGATATTATTTGACCTTTTGAGACGTTAATCAGCTGTTGGTTGTAGAAAACTGCCTATTATATTGATCTCAAATATATTTTTAGTAAATTTAACAGGATTTAAACTGGATGTTTTCTGATACTTTCAGAAATTAGAGCTTTTAAAGGTTTTGTCATCAAATTTTAATAAGAAACACTCGGCTTAACAGTTATAACCTTTTTTAAATGTCACCACAATCTTCCTAAATCGTCAAAAGGTCTAAATATCAAACGAAGTCTTACAAATTTGTATATGTTGATAACATTTCTTCATTTATTGTTAGAAATATAGAAGAGTGTGTTGAAGTGATCGTTTTAGGGGTCATTAATGCAAATGACCAAACTACCTGAAAGCGCCTGAGTCTGAGATGAGGATGAAGAGGACCCAAAGGCAGAATTTACTGCAGATGGATGGAAACTAAAAAAATCATAACAATAATTAACACAGTATTAAACATTAAAGTTTTGTGAGATGGTTTTAAGATTATGTCGGGTAAGAAAGGATGACGTTTCAGTCATTTTGTGGGTCTTGCTCAATGGCCCAGGGTGGGGCAAGTGTTGTAATGAGGGTGGAGGCAGGTGTGGGTGTTTCAGCTTTTACACCCACATTTTGATGTTGTCAGTCCGGGGAGTTGATCCTACGACTTTCCGATCACAGGCCCATCTTCTCTAGCCTCTGTGCCACCACTCCCCTATGGGTTTCATAACCTGACAAATTAAAAGGTTTTATGTTATAACAGCAGACATTTACATCTAAAGCAAATATATACATGTAATATTTGTTAGTTGAATAAGTGAACTATTCAGTTATTTAACATTAAGGTTTATTTTACATTACATTTAATTAAATGTAGCTACATTTATACCATCTTACAGTTTCATCTGGCCCTTTGAGGGCAACCATTATGCTGATGTGGACCTCGGTGGAAATTAGTTTGACACCTGGCTCCCCAGGAACCCCTGTGCTCCAGAGGGCTGTAGTTGCGTCAGAAGAGCATCCGGGAAAAAAAGTGAATCACAAAGTTTGCACTTGAAAAAGTTATTCAAAATTTAACTAAAGTGAGACTTTTATTTTGAAAAGCCTCAATACTGCTTCAGCTTGCTTCCGTTCATGCGCAGATCGCACGTTTTGTTTTTTGTTTTTGTGACGTGAGTTTTACAAAACCCGGTTTTTTTTTTTTTACAAAAAACGAAGGGCTTCAAAACAGTACTGGCTTTTGAAGTGTTTTTAATTAAAGCATAGTTTCAAAGGTAAGGCTAATGTTTGATGGTCAAAACACAAAGACTGATTAACTTTTCGGGTTGCTTCTTAATCTAAAAGTTAAGTCAGGTCCTCTGGACGGACTCTTTTTGATGGATACGTTTCGTGTTGTATCCAGAAGACTTCTTCAGTTTGAAGCGCTGCAACAATCTCAGTCTTATAAATAGCACCTTCTCAAAGTAGACCAACCAGTTTAGTGGTGACGGCTAAAACTAGTTGTTCACATGCAAAAGTAGCACCATCAGACTAAAAGAATGGCCGCTTGCTATTCACAGAGTGATGCAATAATTAAGAGGGTGACAGTTAAACACAGAGGCCTCCGCCACTGTTTAACCATGGATGGTTTAACCCGTCATTCTTTGGCATGGCAATAAGTCAAATAAAGGGGCCTTAAATGAACACCCATTTTGAATAAAGTGTAATTACTAACCATTTGTATCTGTTAGTTCTGCAAAGTAACTGGTTGTTCTATTAAAAGAATACAGTGTCAAAGCAAATGTTCAACACGTAAATTAACAGTTGTTCTCAAAAACTGAACACAAAGGTCATTGATTGGGTTTATTTAGTCAAAATATTGCACATTCATATCCATTATAAATACTTGGATAACAGAAGAAAGTCCATCCATCCATTATCTTTTACCCGCTTCTTCCATTTTGGATCACAGGGGTCGCCAGTGCCCATGTCCATCAATCACTGTGTGAGGGGTGGGGTACTGTGAGGGTGGGGTACTGTGAGGTTCCATTAGTGCCAAAAGTATGTGTATGTGTCTATGTAAAGTGTGTATGTAGCGTGCTGTGTATATGTAATGTGATATGTTAGGTGCATATGTTAAGTGATATGTTAGGTGCATATGTAAAATAACATCACCTTACATATCCTTAACATATACACAGCACGCTACATATTTACTTTAGACACATAAACATATTTTTGACACTAATGGGGGGAGTGGTGGCGCAGAGGTTACAGAAGGTGGGCCTGGGAAGATCGTCGGTTCAAGCCCCGGTACCGACAACATCAAAAAGGTGGTGGGGTAGGTGAAGCACCCACATCTGCCCCACTCTGGGCCCATGAGCAAGGCCCTTGACCCCCATCTGCTTCCTCAACAGGTCTCTCTTGAAAATGAGTCCTCGTGGCTCAATGAGACTACCTGGATAAATAAAGGGTAAATGAATAAATAAATAATGGAACCTCATAGAGGTTCAGTACAAAGTAACAGAGTTCAAGTAGCTTTTACTGAAGACTTTGATTCACTCTTGTACAGGATACAAAGAGGGAGAGAGATGTCCCACCAAGTCAGACTGAGACTGCTGCCGAGCGCCAGGTGTTTGTTCGATGAGCCTCTTCAGGTGAAGGTGTCCGGGCTGAGGTGCAGGCAGGTGGTCACCATGAGAGCCAGATCTACAGATGATAGGGGAGTGGTGTTCAGCTCCTCGGCCACCTACAAGGCTGATGGTGATGGTGAGATTGACCTGAGCAGAGACCCCTCACTCAGCGGGAGCTACGTTGGCGTTGAACCCATGGGTCTGCTGTGGTCGATGACAGCAGACGCCTTGCACAAAATGTTTCAGAAGAAAAGTCCCTTAAATCCCCATGTGTTGAACTTCTCAGTGCACGACGAGGACAGGATGTTGGCGGAGGCAACTAATGAGAGGTTTCTAATGAGAGATGGTGTCAGACGAGTTCCTGTCAAACAGGGGAATATTAACGGAGTCCTTTTTACTCCTCAAGGTTGGTCCATCTCTTTATAGAGTTTTTTATTTATACTCTTTGTCAGTAGGATAGTGCCATGGGTTAAACATATTTTACTTTCTTCTTTTTGGGGGGTAAATGTTCTCATTGCACAGTATGGCATCAAACACATAAATTTACTTTGTAATTTATATAATTATACAATGCACAGGTACCTGTCCTGCAAATGCAAATCAAAGTCTGATCCATTAGATTAAGAGTATTTCTTCCATTGCTTCAGTGTCGACTTTGAATGTTCACATTAAAGTCATTCAACCTTTATTTATACAAGTTAGTCTCATTGAGTTACGAGTCCAGTTCAGTTTATTTACATAGCGCCAATTCACAATAAAGTTGTCTCAGGGCACTTTACAAAGACTCATTTATAAGAGAGACCTGTTTTAAACAAAGAACGCATACAATATAAAACATATAAAATGAAAAGGTAGGGCGGTGGGCAACTATATGAGTGCCCGGCGAGCAATTAGGGATTGGGTGTCTTGCGCAGAGACACCACAACATGTGGGAATGGCTGGGAGTCAAACCGTGACTTTCTGGTCCCAGGTTGGCTTCCCTATCTCTGCCAATGAGTACAGGGTACGGTAGATATTAACCTTAGTGCCCCATGGTAGACAGCGGCATCAAACATCTACAAGGAGCTGGCAGGGGCATTCATGTAAATAATGTTACCATAATTGTTGGATAGTAGGAAGGTACCAACTACAAGGCATTTCCTGGCATTCAAACTTGCCGGTAAGCAAGATCTGTTTCTCAAAAAGAAACCCAGTTTTAATTTTAGTTTATCAAGCTTTCAACATGCGGCTTAAATGATGTGCTTCAATTAAAATTCCCAAGTATTTGCAAGAATCCACAAATTCAATAGGAACACCCAATCATGGATGAGATGGTGGGGAAGAGCTGCTGTCACAAACTTTCTGTTTGAAAACAACATCCCTTTGTTTTTTTCAGCATTTAGCACCAGTTTGAGACGGAACAAGTCAGACTGAATGATGTCAAATGCAGAGTAAAGCTGGAAAACCTTGGCAACTGTGTTAGCTCAGCAATAAACAATTGTATCATCAGCATAAAGCTGCAAGGAGGCGTCAGGAATGTTTTGACCTCCATTATTTATACGAATTGTAAAAACACTGGGTCCTAAAACTGAGCCTTGTGGCACACCATTAGTGACTGTTAAATAGCTAGACCAAGTACTGTTCTGTCGAACGCATTGCCTCTGATCTGAGAGTTAGAAAACCAACTAACAGTGCGATCTGAGAAATATCTGAGAGCTTATGCCATAACATGTCATGATCTACAGTATCGAAAGCTTTGGACAGGTCTAAGTAAAGTGCAGCACAGTAATCCTTAGCATCCAGTGCTTCAACAACATCATTAAAAATCTTTAGCAAAGCAGTCGTTGTGCTGTGTTGTTTCCTAAAGTTGGATTGGATTGGATTGGAAGGTCCACCTCAGACAATCAGTTGAAGTACATTATCTGCTTCCAAATATTTAGCTCATCATTGGAAACATTTCTAAACAGAAACTAATGTTTTTCTTGGAGTCAGTGGTATGAATTTAACAGGAAACTCATGAATTAACATAAACAAAACCACATACTTAATCGCAATATTAGTGAGAGAAATATCAAGGTAACAAGGATATCATAAGCCGTTGTATTTCATGTACCATGCATTCATATTCTGCAGGCTAATAATTTATTTGTCCAATCAAATTTGCTCTGACTGGCCTTGATGTTCACACCTGGTTTAGATTATGACAAAAGAGAAGGTGATGAATTGACACTGTTCTTGTAATATTTTACAATACTAGTGCACAAGTATTATTAATGTCACACAAATCTAAATCCATCAGCTTTTTACAGTTACAGCGATTTGTGCATCAGTGGGATGCACCAATCTGTTTGTAATTTTTTTGGCTGATTATTGTTTAATTAATTATTTTCTTTGTCATTTGTCACAATAAGCAGGCTGATTTTCAGACTTGGTATTAAAATACACCTTTGTCAAATGTCAGTTTGGTCAGAAGAAAGTTTCTTTAGACTGTAAATAAATGTTGTTATTGCTTGTAGGCAGCGGTCCGTTCCCTGCTGTGTTGGATCTGTACACATTTGATGGAGGTTTGTCAGAGAAAAGAGCTGCTCTGCTGGCCAGCCGAGGATTTCTGGTTCTGGCTGTGTCTCTGTTCGGTCACAACCTGCTGAAGAACACCAAAGAAATTAATCTGGATTATTTTGAGGAATCAATAGACTTTTTAAAAAGCCAAGATAAGGTGGGTTAATTAAACTCATTTGATTGTTTTTGAGGAAGCTTATCAATTTAATAATAATTTTTTTATAATGTTATTACCTTAAAATTTATCTTTTTATTGTTTGCAAAGGTACAAATCTGATCTACATAACATTATTTATAACATGTAGGGGCGGAGATGGTGCAGGGTCAGGGCAGCCGACTTGGGATCCGAAGGTCCTGGGTTCGATTCCCGGTCATTGCACATCTCGTGGTGTCTCTGAGCAGGACACCCAATCTCGAATGGCTCCCCGGGTGCTTATATAGCTGCCCACTGCTCCACCTGTCAGGGTTGTATCAGGCAGAAACGAACCCAATAGTTACAGGCAGGTACTCGGACTCAGAAAGTATAAAAATAAATACTTTTAATGGAAATAAATTAAATGGCTGACGTGGCAGCAAACTTACACACTGGTAAATACAGATCGGGTCAGGACTGGTGAACAGGACAGGACGGGGTAGACCCAACGACGACGCGACAACAAATGAGACTAACAGACAGACATATACATAGACAAGGCAGGATGTGATTAACAGCTGGCACGAGACAAGGGTGAAATTAATTGGGTAAATGAGGAGACACTAGGGATACAGACAAGGAAGGCCACTAGATGACGCCGTCCTTACAGTACCCCTCCTCAAGGATGCCCCCTGACTTGGGTGAGCGGAGGGAGGAACTGCTAGGATGGAGGGTCCAGTGAAACATGAGGACAAAAATAAACTGACACAACCAAAACCTGGGAACTAAACTAAACACAAATAGGGAACATCGTCATGCATGCTCAATCATCCAGGTAGAATAATCTAAAAAAGTTAAATCTGGTCCTCTGGACATTCAAATTAAACAAAACAAAAAAATTGTAGCAACGTTTCGTCTTTCATCCGAAAGACTTCCTCAGTCTGAGGTGCTGTATTCTCCTCAGTCTTATAAATAGCACCTTCTTGCAGTGGCTCAACCAGTTTGCTGCTGACAGCCAAACCAGCTACTCACCTAATCAAGGAGGACCATCAGCCTAACGATGGATAATTAGCACACCGATGGCTGTTTGCTATTCACAGGGGGCTGAGTGATGCTAGCAATAACAGCATTGTAAGAGGGGGACAGTTGAACCCGGAGGCCTCCACCCCTGTTTAATGATGGACGGTTTCTTTTCACCAAAATGGCCTCCTTTACTCCTCTCTCAAACCATCGTTCCTCTCTATCAAGGATGTGAACATCTTCATCCCTGAAAGAGTGACCGCTGGCCTGGAGATGAGTGTAGACTGCAGAGTCCTGACCTGATGATGTTGATCTTCTGTGCTGGTCCATCCTTTTGGCCAGTGGCTGTTTAGTTTCCCCGATGTAAGACTGATCACAGCCCTCCTGACACTGAACAGCATACACAGTATTACTCTGTTTGTGCCGGGGGACTGGATCTTTGGGATGAACCAGTCTTTGCCATAATGTATTTTGGGGTTTAAAAGCCACTGGCACGTTATGTTTAGAAAATAAACGTCTCTGTTTCTCTTAGGTCGTTTTCACACTAGATAGTCCGGTAGACTCGGTTCGGTTCGGGCCAATATTCATGAGCTTTTGTTTACATTTGAGATGGTGAGTTTGCATTCACACTGCACTGTGCAGTCGAGTCAACCTGTTGAACCAACCTGTTCCCCCGCTCGCCTGAGGGGGCGCTACACCAAGAACTACTGAAAGAAACGACACAAAAACCCCTGAAGACACGTCTTCTTCTTCTTCTGTAAATAAAAATAAAAACAAAGTGGCATCAAGTTTTAGCAGTTTTAGGAGTTAAATTTTGTCATTTTTCAAAAATGAACTTAGCATGAGCAGAAGATGAGACAGAAGACCATGGAGAATATTGTTTTTCCACACAAGTCAGCTGACAGCTCCATATAAGGTCAGAGAAATGCTTGTTTGTTTGTCCTGCGGAGCGGGGTCTGGTCTGTTTACATTCACACTGCACTCAAACCGCGCTGGAGTTCGCTTCTACCGGACCGAGACCTAGGTTTTAGCCCGGGCCAGAATTCGCCTTTTTGTTCCGTGACAGAGTTCGATGGTGCGTTCACACCTCCCTAAACTAACCGGACTTTCTAGGAAAACGAGCTAGAGTTCGATTAAAGCGGACTAAACAGGGCTAGTGTGAATGCACCCTTATACTCCCGCAACATATGGACTGACCACTGGTCTGGGTCTGGGTTCCTCCTTTTCATCTGATGGCTGGCTGGAGTCCTGTTTGGGTTTCTTCTCTGAGAAGAAAATCAGACTTTGTTTGGGTTCGGAGAGCCGTCCTTCACGCCGCAGCAGACCAGGCGAGCGGCTGGAGAGTCACCCACGGCGTCGGAGCAGACCAGACGGGCAGACTGGATGGAATGTGGGGCCTGGACAGGACGTGGAGCCGAGGCGAGGCGTGGACCCATGAGTGATGACTGCGGCAGACAGACCAGGAGCGAAGACCTCAGCTGGCGAGCCAGGAACGAAGACCTCAGCGGACAAGCCAGGAGCGAGGACCTCAGCGGACGAGCCAGGAGTGAGGACCTCAGCGGACGAGCCAGGAGCGAGGACCTCAGCGGACGAGCCAGGAGCGAGGACCTCAGCGGACGGACCAGGAGTGAGGACCTCAGCAAGCGGGTCAGTGGCAAGGAGCTTAGCAGACAGACCAGAATGAGGAGTGGAACCAAGGCATGCCGGATGTGGAGACCTCGAACGGTGTGGAGGCCTCGAGCAGTGTAGAGACCTCAAAAATATGGAACCCTCAGGGGACGAAGCAGATGTAGTAGAAGTAGAGACAGAGTCATCTGTGGCTGGATTTTCTGCAGCTAGATCTTCTGCAGCTGGGTCTTCAGCGGCAGGATCTTCAGTGGCTGGATCTTTGGCGGCTGTGGAACTCTGAACCAGAAGTGGCGGAAAGGAGTCCATCTGGACCCTGAAACCTGGGTAGGCAGGAGCGGAGTCAGTCTGGACCCCCACCAATACACCTGTAGGTGGTGAAAACTCTGGACCGACCCCCATGGAGGCACACATAGGTGGGGAATCAGGGTCAGTTATCACACACACAGTAGGAGATGGAGGGGCTTCTGATCCAACTCCCACGTCAACACTCAGAGGTGTGACGTCGGGGCCAGGACCCAGAGAGACACAAGGGGGTGTATAATGCTGTGGGGCAGAGTCAGGCTGACGGACTGTGTAAGGCTGTGGAATGGATTCAGATACTGGGACTGGGGCTGAGTCGGGCTCTGGGACTGGGACTGGGGCCGAGTCGGGCTCTGGGACTGGGGCCAAATTGGGCTCTGGGACTGGGGCCGTGTCAGGTTCTAGAACTGGGATAGAGACTGGATCTGGTTCTGGGACAGAGACTAGTTCTGGGACAGAGTTAGGTTGTAAAATAGACCTGATTTCAATCAAGATTTGATGATATGCTGGGATAGTTGTGAGGCCAGGTACAGATAATAACAGTTTTTCAGCTAATGTAAGAAATGTGTTTGAACAGTCCGGGTTACTCTTAGCTGAAGAAAACAGGTTTTGAAGATAAGTGTTTATGTGATGGATGTCAGAGGCACCTACCACCCATGAAGGACTTTCTGTGGGGACCTCTGCTGGGGTTATGTGGGATAGCCATGCTGACTGTTCTCCGGGGTGGCCCCCCTTCATCTAGTCTTTAGACGAACGAGGGTTGGAGTGAGGGGTGACAGGACTGACTGATCCTCGTGGGAGCTTTGTGCGAGAGTGAGGTGCCGGATTCCAGCCTCACCGGGGTCCTAGGAGGTGAGGCGTCCGGATCGGCTCTCTCAACAGCTCCGGAACGAGGTCCCGGAAACTCAGCCTTACCGGAATGAGTTGGATCTGCAGTCGCTGTCAGGGATGTTGGCGAAGGTCCCGTGGATTGTCTCCGGTTTTGTTTTCTGCCACCCGGGCAGCGACAGTGGGAAGGGAGGACAGGATTGAAGCAGAGCTCGTCCTCCAGATCTGCGTCCTTCCCTGACGTCCACCCTGAGTAGCCGAGCAGCGCTGGAGATGAAGAAAAGTTTGGCTCGGGTGCCCAGTGTTCCCCCCAGGGCAGAGACCTTCTCTCTTCCTCCAGAACCAGGAGAGGCAAAGACAAAACTTCAATCGCCAGGCAGTGGTAAATTTGTGTTCGGACGGGTTCGGTTCGGAACCTGCCAAACTGGATTACAGGCTCCTCTATCTGTGGCTCGTAACAGACAGGTGAGTAATTCTGAGGAGAACCCTGCCCGCTGGGTTCTGTGTTGGTCGCGTCGTTCTGTCAGGATTTTATCAGGCAGGAACAAACCCTGTGTTGCAGCCGAGTGCGACACAGCCGGGATGAAGATCAGTTCCTCCAAATCTGAGGCCATGGTCTTGAACCGGAAAAGGGTAGAGTGCCCTCTCCAGGTCAGGGAGGAGGTCCTGCCCCAAGTGGAGGAGTTCAAATATCTTGGGGTCTTGTTCACGAATGAGGGAAAAATGGAGCGTGAGATCGATAGGCAGATAGGTGCAGTGTCTGCAGTGAAGCGGGCGCTGTACAGGTCTGTCGTGGTGAAGAGAGAGCTGAGTCAAAAGGCAAAGCTCTCAATTTACCTATCGATCTACGTTCTTACCCTCATCTATGGTCATGAGCTTTGGGTTGTGACCGAAAGAACGAGATCTTGGATACAAACGGCCGAAATGAGTTTTCTCCGCAGGGTGTCTGGGCGCTCCCTTAGAGATAAGGTGAGAAGCTCGATCATCCGAGAGGGACTCAGAGTAGAGCCGCTGCTTCTCCACGTCGAGAGGAGCCAGTTGAGGTGGCTCCGGCATCTGGTTAGGATGCCTCCTGGACGCCTCCCTGGTGAGGTGTTCCAGACACGTCCCACCGGGAGGAGACCCAGAGGAAGACCCAGGACATGCTGGAGGGACTATGTTTCTCGGCTGGCCTAGGAACGCCTCAGGATTCCCCCGGAGGAGCTGGCCCAAGTGGCTGGAGAGAGGGAAGTCTGGGCCTCCCTACTTAAGCTGCTATCCCCGCAACCCGACCCCAGATAAGCAGAAGAAAATGAATGGATGGATGGATGGAAGAACAAACCCAATAGTTGCAGGCAGGGACTCGGACTCACAAAGTACAAAAATAAACACTTTTAATGGAAATAAATTAAATGGCTGACGTGGCAGCAAATTTACGCACTGGTAAATCCAGATCGGGTCAGGGCTGGTAAACATCAGGACAGGGTAGACCCAACAACGACGCAACAACAAACAAGACTAACAGACAGACATATACACAGACAAGACAGGATGTGATTAACAGCTGGCACAAGACAATGGTGAAATTAATTGGGTAAATGAGGAGACACTAGGGATACAGACAAGGAAGGCCCACTAGATGGCACCATCCTTACACACCTGGGTGTATCCCAGTTGTGATGGGTTAAATGCAAAGAGCCAATTTCATCTTTGTATGGGAACATCAATGATGACAACACATAGCACTTTATTTTATTTATTATTATTAATTTATGGTTAGTTGCATGTAATGGTATGTTTTGTCCACAGGTGGGCAGTAAAGGAGTTGGTGTATTATCCATTTCAAAAAGTGGAGATCTTGCTCTGTCAATGGCCTCTTATCTACCAGGAGTTGAGGCTGTCGTTTGGATTAATGGCTGCTCTGCTAACACAGCACTTCCTCTCTACTATAAGCAAAAACTAATTCACCCTGCATTAATGTATGACAAGAAAAAGTTTATTTCCTCAGAGTCAGGAGCTGTTAATGTCAAATTCTCTCTCCACAATCCTCTTGAAGAAGAGAACAGAGCCACATTGATCCCCATTGAAAAAGCTGACAGTCAGTTCCTTTTCGTGGCCTCAGAGGACGACCTCAACTGGGACAGCAAGGCTTACATGGATGAGGTGGTGGAGAGACTGAAGCATCATGGGAAACAGAACTTTGAGAGTGTCAGTTACCCTGGAGCTGGACATTATTTAGAGCCCCCTTATGGACCATACTGCCCCTCAAGTTTTCATCCACTTGCAAGCAAGCCAGTTTTGTGGGGGGGTGAGCCCAGGTCCCACGCTGCAGCTGAAGTCCACCTATGGGAGAAGATCCAGGAGTTCTTCTGGACTCACTTGAGCTGTGATGGTAATCGGAAGAAATCAAAGTTATAGCTTCAAACAGGATGATAATGATGATTCTTGATTCTAACCTGTATAACTTGATGTACCCAT